ACAAACAAACATCAGAACAAACATCTGAACACAAACAAACAAACATCTGAACACAGACAAACAAACATCTGAACACAAACAAACAAACATCTGAACACAAACAAACATCTGAACACAAAGAAACAAACAAACATCTGAACACAAACAAACATCAGAACAAACATCTGAACACAAACAAACATCAGAACAAACATCTGAACACAAACAAACAAACATCTGAACACAGACAAACATCTGAACACAAACAAACAAACATCAGAACAAACATCTGAACACAAACAAACAAACATCAGAACAAACATCTGAACACAAACAAACAAACATCTGAACACAGACAAACATCTGAACACAAAGAAACAAACAAACATCTGAACACAAACAAACAAACATCTGAACACAGACAAACAAACATCTGAACACAAACAAACATCAGAACAAACACAAACAAACATCAGAACAAACATCTGAACACAAACAAACAAACATCTGAACACAAACAAACAAACAAACAAACATCTGAACACAAACAAACAAACATCTGAACACAAACAAACAAACAGCTGAACACAAACAAACAAACATCAGAACAAACATTTGAACACAAACAAACAAACATCTGAACACAGGCAAACATCTGAACACAAACAAACAATCATCAGAACTCAAACAAACAAACATCAGAACAAACATCTGAACACAAACAAACATCAGAACAAACATCTCAACACAGACAAACAAACATCTGAACACAAACAAACAAACATCTGAACACAAACAAACAAACATCAGAACACAAACAAACAAACATCTGAACACAAACAAACAAACATCTGAACACAAACAAACAAACATCTGAACACAAACAAACATCTGAACACAAACAAACAAACATCAGAACAAACATCTGAACACAAACAAACATCTGAACACAAACAAACAAACATCAGAGCACAGACTATGCAGTTGCTAAGGTGCTTTAGGTGGTTGCCAGAGTGTTGCTATGCAGTTGCTAGGGTGTTGTGGGAGGTTGTCAGGGCGTTGCTATATGGTTGCCAGATAAACACACTCTAGAAACACACAGCTGACGGGCAGAACTGAGCTGCTGCTCTCATCGACCTGAATAACGACGTGATCATTCAGTGCGGAAAATCACTGTAAAACCGAAGAACGCCACCGCTGGAGGAGCTCCAGGACGTTCATGTGATGCTTCGTTTCTTCACTTTCATCTTCTGGGATTATGCAGGAATCCGACGGGCTGGAAGGTGGATCTGGAACACAAGCAGGGCTGCGTTTCTCAAAGGCATCGTGAGTTTAAGTAGATCGCAGAGTTCAGTGTTTGTCTATAATGTCAGACGGTTAGCAGCGGTTCTTCAATCACGACAGTCGTCAAACGTCTGTTTCAGAAATGTCACACAGAGTAATGAGATCAAGCAACAATGTGCAAAAGGTCATGACAAACTGACATTTAAACACAATCAACAGCAAATAAAGAAAAGGCCACACGATAATGCGCTGGAGGTCATAAGCCTGGACATTTACAACGTATTCACTCAATTAACCCTCTCGGCCATGTGACCTGACTCCTAACGAACACACGGCTCAGTCGCACCAACAACACAGTTAATCAGGTTCTGATGACTGCGTGTGTGTTTGCCAGAGCAGAAGCTCTTGAGGAGACAGCAGCGTTTGTCCTGAAAACAAGCGCCCCATCCAGCAGCTCAGACTCCACACCACTGCTTTCTCATAAATAACAAACGCAAAACTCAAACTGAGAACTCAAAACAGATGGAGGAGAGTTACCTGTGAAAGTCACCAGCGACACCATCAGCAGCCATCCGAACCACAGCTATAGCCGCCGCGACGTTCCAGTAATCGCTCTAACTCTAGATTACAGCCAATCCAAACCACTTCTATATCGATAACGGCACAGAGGAACCGTATCGAAGGAATCGCTTTCAGAATTATTTTTTTTACAGCTGATGAATGATGAAAACACTGACAGCCAATCAGATGACAAAGCGACAGATGACAAACGCTTGTGTGGATGCTGATATAGTTAAGTTATAGTTACTGTTATAATTGTAGTTACTGTTACAGTTATCACTACACTGTAAAAAATGATTGTGAGTTTAACGGTAAAAGACTGTAAAAATGCTACAGTAAAAACCTATTAATTGGTTACTATAGACGGTGAAAAACTGTAATGGACATTTCATGTAATTTTACAGTAAAGTAGAGTTTTTGAAAGTGAAAAAGTATGTTTAATTTACAGTAAAATTCCCAGAGTTACATTTCACATCTGATGGTTTTTCATTGAAATAACTGTTTCTTCTTAGTTTTTTCTCACCGGTTGTGTTCATTAGGGTTGTATGTTACATCTAATGTTGTTAAATGAACGTTTATTGCATTATTTCAGTATCATGTGTTGGTGTTTAGTGTTTGTGTGAATGACACATTATGTGACTCTCTTCACCAGCTGATTTTGGTGGTTATCAGTGTATTACAAAGGAAAACTACTGAACAGATTTCAGAACTGGTATATTAACATTGTATCAGATAATGAAATACGGTTTTTAAATGTAAATTTAAGTTAAAAACCTAAAATGTTGCTACCGTATTTTTTACAGTAAAATTCTGGCAACTACAGCTGCCAGATTTTACCGTAAATTTTACAGATTTTTTTTTACAGTGTATCGTTATGTAGTTATCACTAAAGTAGTCGTTACAGTTATCATTATGATTATAGTTATTGCTATAGTCACCATTACAGTTATAATTACTGTAAAGAGTATTTGATCACAGTTACCGTTATGGTTCTCATTGCAGCTAGAGTTATCATTAGAGGTTTCATTATTGCTATAGTTATCATCACAGTTATGGTTCTGGTTGTGAACAGGTCTTAACACTCCAGAGCCGAACTCCTCATCCTCATACCGTCCTTCATCACGACAGGAGAAACACACTCACGCATTACAGTAGGGTTTCTTGTCGTAGCCTTTGTAGTTCTTCATGTTGAGCGTCATCTTACACACTTCACAGTGGAAACAGCCTTTGTGCCAGTTCTGAAAAACCGTAAGACATCACATCATTACTGCAGATTCTGAGCAATTAATAATGCCATGTCCTTTTAATAATTACAGGAGGGCAAACACTGTTTAGTCTCTTTCTGACACACTGAACAGGAGCATCAGAGCTGAAGAGATCAATAGTGCTGGTGCACTGAGTTTCAGTGATGCTATCAGGTTCTGGATGACTGTCATTTTCTAACACTTCAGAGAATATTATGGTATTAATGCGTACTGTGTCCAAAACATCCTGCTAGTTTCTGAAAGGCTCAGTGTTTGTCCTGTTTATATTTAATTTGCTTCATCTTGAATAGATTTATTTAGACAGTCTTTTATAATGTCACTCATGACTGTAAGATTATGAATAAAACATGCAGTTCGTTATGTAAGACGCATCCAAACACAGTAAAGTTTGACTGACACACATCACATTTAACGTTCGTATAAAACACGGTTCTGCAGCTGAAGCTCTAATAAAGTTGTTTCAGCTGCGAGTTGGTGTGGAAATGAGGTAAATCAACTGTTTTCGCACCTTGTCGAGGCAGCTGATCTTCTCGGTCGGATAGACGGTTTTCCCGCAGCGCGCGCACGCAGCATTCATCCTCGCCGCAGCTCTGGTGCTCAGATGTGACTGAACAGAAGATCCGCGTCACTGTGTGTGTTTGTGTGTGTGTGTGAGAGAGACAGAGAGAGAGTGTGTGTGTGTGTGTGAGCGCGCGCAAGGGGAGGGGGGTCTGAGACTCACTCGCTAATATACAGCATAAAGACAGAATGGTTTAAACACAGCATTTGGGCGTTATAAAAGCGCGTCATTCAGAAAAAGAAAAAGAAAAGAAGTAAGAGTGTGTGCGTTTGTGTGTGTGGGAGTGAGTGAGTACATGTTTTTCTACACTGGTAGGGACTTAAACCTGAATACACACAGACTCATGGGGACTCGTGTCACGGTGGGGACCTAAATTGTGGTCCCCACGGGTACAAAAGCTTATAAATCATACAGAATTAATTTTTTTGAAAATCTAAAAACGCAGAAAGTTTCCTGTGAGGGGTAGGTTTAGGGGTAGGGTTGGTGTAGGACAATAGAAAATACGGTCTGTACAGTAGAAAAACCATTACGCCTATGCAGGGCCGCATTAAGACCTCACTAAGGTCTTAATAAGAGCCCCGGGGCTATGACTTATTGCAGGGCCCCCCATCACAATAATGATATATATAGCTTAAAATAGGATTTTTATCCAAT